AGAGAAGTTTCGCTATGATTATAAATTAAAAAAAAAAGTACGCCAGTATGGGATTGATTCTAAAGAAAAGCCTGACTGTGTAGTTTGTAGCGTGTAGGAACCTTTTGAGAAAATGAGAAGGGCGCGAATTCCTGTAAAGAAATGCATTAGGAAAAAGAGGGGTATATATATAGAAAAAGAAAGGACAAAAGAGCAAAACTGTAAAGTTCTTCGCCTTCTTAATGGGATTTTTTACAATGGGATTTTCATCTTCGCACCCTTCAACTTTTACGTAAAGCGACTTTTTTCATAATTCTCCCTGTAAAAAATTTAAACAATAGAAAATAAACGTGTTTAAGTGTTTTTTTTTTTATAAAAGAATTTAAAAAACAACAGCAAAGAAAAACAGACTACAAAATTGGGCTCGACGTGTTTAAAGCCTAATTGTTTAGCCAGTTGGGGGGGGGGTTATTTCTTAAATCATACTAATTAAATTAAATTGTTGAATGTCGAAATATGAATTAGATTTTAATTGTTAAATTTATATATTCTATATTCCAACAAAAGCGCCGAGAGTCCCGACTGGCTGGGCCAAGGTCCGCACATTGTGACAAGATTGTTGGAACACCCCTGGTGACAACTGACAATATTAGATACTTAGATCCACATCAAAAGGAAAAATATGGAAATATTAGTATAATTTATTTCCTTATTTAAGAAAACACTGTCTTTTAATTGCATTTAAATTTTAGATTTCTGGAATCATATCTTAAATAATTAAATTCACACATCAACCCCTCCATCGAAATCAATAATATTTTTCTTTTAAATTTAATGCAACAACCTTATAAAAAAAACAAATCAATCAATAAAACAGCGTACATTCCAAAATCCAGAGAAGAACACGCTTAAATACATCTAATGGCGTGTTAATCGTAATGCAAACTTTTATTATCATAAAAACAGGATCGAAATGCAAACAATTAAATGAATTAAAATCTGTAAATGTGTGGTTAGGTTTAGTCACTAATCCATTATACATCTGCCTGTAATCTCGTTCTCTCACACACACACACGGATGAGTGAGTAGAAGAGTAGATGGCTAGATGGCTGGCTGGCTAGATGACTAGACACACAAATACACACTTCTTCAGTTGCCTTCAACACTGCAATCCACATCCACATTACCCATTACCCTAGACACTCCCATCTCTGATGTCTCTACAAAAGCCTCATCTTTACGCTCTGTGCGAGAACAGTGTTCTCCTCCTCCTACCTCTGTCAATCGCCATTAATTAAACCACGACGGAAGGGAAGCATCTTGCTTGCTCTTCTTTTCCCTTCTCATCCCTATCTTCAGGAGGAGGACGACGCAAACATTTCATCAGATTTCTTACAAAAAAAAAAAAAAAACTTTTTTTTTCTTTATCTGTATTTCTTCACACCCATCTCTTGCTGGTTGAAGAGGAAGAAATTTGAGCATTTGATCTGGTTTGAGAGAACAAAGATATGGGTTTTGGTTTCGGTGGTGGGTATGACAGTACATCATCGACGCTTCTTTGCCAGGAGGAGAACAAAGATGTTCTGGGTTTTGATGAAGAGGACCGTGATCTTGAAAATGGTGGAGATGAGATGTTGTGGCGATTGGATCGTCTAGGAAACGCCTAGATTGCGATTTTGTTGATGACTATGGAGATGATTTGATGTTCATGGATTTTCCTCTCATGTCCGATGAATGTTTAGCCTTGTCGGTCTCTCAAGAATCTGATCATCTGCCTCGGAATGACTATTCCAGGAGGCTTCTCTCTGGTGCCCTGGAAATCTCGGTTCGGAGAGAAGCCATTGATTGGATTGGAAAGGTTTTTCCTTTTTACATTTTCTTCTTCTTCATCATCTTCACCCTCATCTTAAAAAAAGCCGATTTTTTTGCTGTTTACTCCTAATCTTCTGTTTTCCGGTTGGAACCTGCCGATGGATTTACAATCTGAGATTTGTGTGCTTTTTTTGATTTTCTTTGTGTAACGGCTTGATAATTGAGGTTTCTGTTCACCTGATTCGTTTTCCGCATTGAGATTTTCACTGTTGATTCTTCTCTGAACCTTTGGATCCATAAGATGCAATCGACTGATGGTAGTTTTTGTATTTATTGAACAGGTTCATGCTCATTACAGTTTTGGCCCTCTCAGTGCTTATTTATCCATAAATTATCTGGATAGATTTCTTTCTTTCTACGAACTTCCTGTAAGTCTTCTTCTCTGATCCAATCCACAATGCAATCTAACATTGTTTTCGAGACTCTGAAATCTTAATCTTATTTTGCTCCCCATTTTTTTATCGTCTATTTCTGTTAAAAGCAAGGGAAGGCGTGGATGACTCAGTTGTTGTCTGTGGCATGCTTATCCTTAGCTGCGAAAATGGAAGAAACAGAGGTTCCTCAATCCTTAGATTTACAGGTGAGGATGTTATATAATCGTTGTTATCATTCATTCTCACATCTTCATTTTTATTATTACCCGTCCGATCGATGAACAAATCATGTGAATTTAACAGATTGGAGATGCAAAGTTCATCTTTGAGCCCAAAACTATTCAAAGAATGGAGCTTCTCGTGCTGAGCACTCTCGGATGGAGGATGCGAGCTGTTACCCCTTTCTCATTCACTGATTATTTTCTCCACAAATTCAATAATGGCAAATCTCCTTCTAGATCATCGATTTCTCGATCTGTGGATCTCATTCTAAACACGATTACAAGTGTGGATCCCATCATCTTATTCATAATTTTCGCCATCTTATATGAAAATTCAATTCGTTAACTTAATGTATCGGATCAAAATCTCAATGCAGGAATCGATTTCTTAGAATTCAGGCCATCAGAAGTTGCAGCTGCAGTGGCATTATGTATCACAGGGGAAACACACATGATAGATGCTACCAAAACCTTATCTTATTGTAATTTCATCAATCAGGTCAGTATCTGTCTTTATGCCTGTCTTCAATTCTCAACGATTGCTTGTTGATCGATCTAATTCTCTGATACATGTTGTTGATCAATCAAATATTTCGATTGGAAATGTGTTATTTTTTGCAGGAAAGAGCAATAAGATGTTATGAAGTAACAAAAGATATGGCATTGATCAGAAGACCATACAAGAGTTCAAGTGGGTCAGCATCTTCTGTACCACAGAGTCCTATTGGTGTATTGGACAATGCATGCCAAAGTTACAAAAGTGATGATACAGTAACAGTTGGGTCACTGCCAAATTCTCAGCATTGTTCACCTGATGCAAAGAAGAGGAAAATAAACACACAACTACCTTCATCATGATTCATGATGGTAGATAAACAGAGGCATGTCTGCATTTCCCCCCCTTTTTTTTCCCTTTCTTCTTCCATCAGTTGAGTGGTTGAATGGGAGCTTTGGTGTGGTTTTCATTTAGGAATATATATCTATATATATCTATCCTAGCTATATATATATATAAATATATACCCTCCATGCCCATAAAAAAGCAGAGTGACTTGAAATTTGGCCCAAAGGTGAGCAATAATGGTAGGAGGTAGAGTAGCTGTAGAAGAAGAGAATTACCCATCTATCTGTATGTCTATCCATTCATCCTTGCATTTTTTTGTTTTTAACCTGAATGGAACTGTAGAACAGCTGTGGAACCATCAGAATTTTGAGGACCAAGATAGTAACACCATCATAACAGTTAGCAGCTGCCTGTATTTAGGGAAGGGATGGTTTTGGAGATTCTTTCTTATGGTGTGTGATTTTCTTCTTCATCTCCTTGGTGTGAAGAAGTATTATTACTTATTAGAAGAAATTTCAACCCTTGTTGTGACTTGTGAACACTAAACAGCTAGCTAGCTATTATTCATCCATCCATCAGCAGAAACTATTTATTTGTTATATATATATCTATATCTATATCTATATATATATATATGAACATGAATATCAATATCAATATCTTGTTATGTGATTATTATGATGGTGTTATTTTTGGTGTTGATATTTCATACATTGCTTGAGTGCTTGCAAGATTCAGGGACCATCCATGTTTAAATAAAGAGTTGAGAAACAGTTGGAGGTTTGTTTTGTGTGATGGAAACAGTAAAATGGTGTAGTAGAACCATGCCAGCAGAGAGGGTCCAGAACAGACCATGCCAAAACAACCTAAATAAATAAAAATGAATGAATGATGGATAATAGATCACCTCTACTTCTCTGGCATTGTATAAGGCAGTCCTTCCACAATCCAGATTCCAAAAGTCCAGAGATGAGACTGACTTTAAGAGCGGTTCTGAAAAATCTCAACTTTTGTTAGGTCACTCAATCACTCATCCAGTCATTCTAAAAATAAATAAATAAATATTTATTTCTTTAAACCCACATCTGTGAGCTGCAAGTTGCAATCAAGCACATTGTCCATCTCTCTTTTTTTTTTATAGTGGATGCATGGCATATTGGCATTGGGAGCAGTCATTCAAACAAGCCAGAATTTTGCCTGATCACATGCCTTCCATAACTCCTTTTTTCCCCTCCTTTCTTTCCTTCTTTCTCTCTGGACCCATCTGATAGAGGTGCTGTTAGATCACAGGATTGGAGATTCAGGGATTAAATTAAATTTTTATAGTGAGAGAGAGAGGGACTGAGGGTTGGGCAATTGGAAATTAGAATACGAGAAGAGACATTCAGAAATTATGTATGAAGAAGAGAGTCGAGGAGATCGAGACAGTGAGTTTGACCGCCTACTGAAAAAGACTATGAACAGGCTACGTCCTAACCAGTAGGCCGTAGACCAACAATCAAGCTAGTAGAGTCATTTCCATATATATATGTGCGCCAAAATAGCAATACTTGTCATTTTATTTCTACAATTCCTTGTACTCTGCATTATCATATATAAAACCCTACATAGTTATTCGTTACAAAGAAAACATACATTAATTCATAATTTCTATTATTTAAAATATTTATGAGTTCTAATTTATTTTATTTTAAACAATAACAAAATAATCCATTGTAGTCCAGTGGTTAGGATACCTGGCTTTCACCCAGGCGACCCGGGTTCGAATCCCGGCAATGGAATTTTTTTAAATTTGATCACGGACAACATATGAGTTTAATCATAATCTAGAAAGATGATGATATTAAAACTTGTTGAACTAATTTAACCGCATTATAAATCAAAACCCTAAATTGGGTATATTAGTATATAGGCTGAAACTGGTAGTGGCGTAGTGGTAGAGACGTGGTGTGTTCTTAACTGTATAGGGCAGATCAATAGAGTCTACAAAACAGAAAGAAGATAATTTTATTTCCTCCTTCTGGGCATTTGTGCACAGTGGATATTAACACATTCGTCAGTAATTGATATTAATGCGACCCTATGGACTATGCATGGGATTCTTATCTGTCTGACTGTCTGCACCGAATAAGGGAAGAAGACACCACTCTAATTAGTAATTACATTCATTACTCGATCCATAGTCTCCATAACATGTAATTTGTTACGAGTAATGATGGAATGATGCAATTTATTACTCGATCCACAGTTGTGCATGTTTCCACAATGCAAAGGATTATAGATCTTGCAGAGTAGATTACTGCATAAAACTCCACACTGAATAATTTTATAAGGAGTTAAGGACCCCATCCATGGGTGAGATGGATCTGATTATCAGAACCCTGACCGACCTGAAACTGCGCCACATTGATTCAATGTTTTCTTTGAATTCAGATCTGGGTGCTTAATAATAGTCTCCAGACTCCAGGTGTTTGTGTCTGACATAATTCAAAAATTGTCGGACATTGTAGTTGATTGTAACGGATATATGTAATTGTAGGAAATTTAATGGGCCGCAATGGAATATATTTTTTTGCTACATCTGAATCTGATAATTGGTTTTCAAAAACCTCACTAGGCAATAGGCATAGCTGCAAAGGCCTGCAAGGCCAACAAAGTTTTAAAATGAAGTCTTACATAAACATTTTTTTACTTTAACGCTTTTTAAAGCCCAACCCAGCCCAGCTAGATTTCAAAACATGAAATTCATAATATCGTATTGTGTAAATATTTATTTTAAATAAATCTAATTTCCCCAAATACAATCAACACCAAAGAACGACAATCCAGGAACTTCGGCCAGAATCCTCCATTACGCGAGAAGATTCGGGTCTCAGCCTCTCAGGAAGTTGCCTACAGATCGGAATTTATCTTTCCGTGGTATAATAGGCTTCCTCTTCTCAGTCAATTAGTTCCCTCAATTTTTTTCGGTTTTTTATCGATCAAGGTCTCACCCGTTCTGTCGTCGCCGGTTGCTTTTCATCAGCGTTCATGGCGAATCTCCGATCGAGGTGTTACTATTGTTACCTTTATAACTGAATGTTTTTTTTTCAATTTTAAATGAGAATTTAGGTTGTGATGTGTATGGCAGAGAGGGTCTTCTTGGTGCTAGATCCTCTGCAGCGGGGAATTCGAACTCGGGAGAGATACAACTGCGAATCGACCCCATGCACGCGGATTTGGACGAAGAAATTACTGGCCTTCATCACAAAATCAAGCAATTGAAAGGCGTAAGTAATCTATTCACACCTTCTTTTTACTTTTTATCCCTTCTTCCAATTTTCATGATTCGGGCATTTTAGGCAGAATTTAAGTTTGGGGTTATTTGATTACCAAAATCACTATTCATCCTGTAAGGATTAGGGTTGAGAGGAGAAAACGAGCGGGAGTGAGGGTTTAAGAAAAGAAATATCGGAAAAGTAAGTAGCTTAGGGTTTCAACCCTAAGCTTATATATTAAATCGAGTTGGGTTGGACCCATTATCTTTGGGTCCTAAATAACGTTAAGCAAGAATACATGGATAATCAAGGAAACTAATTAAGCAACTCTAAGCTAATCTCTTTTTGTTTGAGTAGATTTGCTTGATGATGATTCCTCACTGATCGTGTCCATCATCGTTACATCCTTGATCATCCAATTATTTTGTAGTTTAACACTCCTCTTTAAGTTGGAGAGTATGGATCCAAGACATTCAACTTGCCAAGAAACTTAATTATATCTTTTTCTCCTAATGGTTTTATCAACACATCGGACGGTTGACTTGCTGTCCCTATATAAGCTAAGGATATGATTCCTTGTTGATCTTTGTTTCTAATGAAATGGTAATCTATTTCTATGTGTTTTGTCCGCTCATGAAATACATGATTGTTTGCTATAACTACATGTATAGCCGATACATTATCACAGTGAAGTACTGCCTTTCTCTTTGGTTCAATTCTAAATTTCTTCAATATATATTGAATAAAAGTTATTTATGATGCAACATGTGCCATTAATATGTATTCAGCTTCTGCTGAAGATCGTGAAATTACTGGTTGTTTCTTGGACTTCCAAGAAATAAGTGATGTTTCTAAAGAAATACAATAATCTGTTATCGACTTTCTTGTTTTGGGACGTGCTTCCCAGTCGGTATCACAGTGATCAATTATGCTAATCTCATTTCCATGTTTATATATTAAACCTCTTCCAGGTGTTCCCTACAAATACCTTAGCACTTTTAATGCTGCCTCCATATGAGACTTGCATAGAGCCTGCATATATTGCCTTAACTTTAACACTCTGATCAATAAATAAATTAATTTTCCAACTAACCTTCTATAGGGTGTTGGATCCTTTAATAATTACAGTCTCAAGTAGAAAATTGACTGAAAGATGGATTAATAAGACCTTCCATAAGATCTTGTGTTGTTCCAGCCTTATTAGTTCCAAAGAAAAATGGGGAGTGGAGAATGTGTGTTGATAGTAGAGCTATCAACAAAATTACTGTTAAGTATAGGTTTCCAATACTTAGACTAGAAGAACTGCTTGATGTGCTGGTTGGAGCTGAAATTTTTACAAACTTGGACTTTAAGAGTGGTTATCACCAAATCAAAATTAAAGAGGGTGATGAATGGAAGACAGCATTCAAAACAAGGCTTGTATGAATGGCTTGTTATGCCATTTGGAATGTCAAATGCACCTTCCACTTTTATGAGGATAATGACTGAAGTACTTAAGCACCTGCTAAATGAGTGTGTAGTAGTATACTTTGATGATATACTAGTATTTAGCAAGGACAGAGCTACATACACTGCAAAACCACCTCAGGTTGAATCTGCAAAAATGTGATTTTCTACGCTGCATTTGATTTTATACACTGCATTTTTATCTAATTTTTAATAGGTGGCTCTAGAAATAGAAGGTGAGGCAAAGTTTCAAAACGACTTCTTATCCAAACTGGTAAGAATATAATCTACATTTTTTTTATAAGAGGGGTATCGGTTCTTTTGTTTATCTGTGGACGACATTCTTTGAATGATTTAAATTTGTCGGGCTGCTCTTTGTGTTCTTTTCGGTAATAAGTCTTAACCACTTGTGGTAAATAACATTTTTTATACTAAAGATTGAGAGATAAAAATTTGAAATCTATTGGCAAAAAAAAAATATCGTGTTTACATAATATTTTTCAGACAAAAGTTTTGTTGCCTTGCTGGTAGTGATGATCATCATGTTTACAGGATTTAAATTTTGAAGTTTGGGTTCAATCGTTAATGATAGACATTTTGTGATTTTAATAATCAAATTGCGTTTAAAATTTTATGTATACCACAATGTTTTGTTCTGTCATTCCTCAATCCCGTTTATGAAATGAGAAATAAGTACGTTCTTTGAGTTTTTCCTGTTACAAACTTTCACTGTCATGTATTTTCCATATTTCTTTTTTAAACAGCAATTAACAGTTATAAAAGCTCAAGCGGGATTAAAGAATAACATGAGAAGGATGAATAACAGCATCTTCCGACAAGGTTCCAACCATCTTTACCATGTGATATTGTTCGCCCTGGTCTGCTTTTTCTTGGTGTATCTCTGGACCAAACATTCTAGACGATAAAAAGTTAGCATCTTTATTGAACAGAGATGGGTCAAATATATATTGTAGGAGCAACTTTCCATTACTGGGTTTATTACCGTGTAACTCGTATTAATGTATTATTATCTTTGGTGGATATTCAGAATTTCAAGTTTGAAGTTTGAACTTGTTCGAGTCTCTGGTCATGTATTTAAAAATATTAATTTCTTGTCTTATCAATTACGTATAGGGAAGTGATTATTGTGGCTTCTAGAATATTCAATACGTATGTATAGTTGACCATTATCCTATAATCCAATGGACTTGTTCTTCTCCTCCTCTATTCTCTACAGTCTAGTTATTGTTCTTTCTTCTCAGTCCTCTATCTCGGCTCGCTCTCTATATATTTATGTGATATGAACAATTAATTCCATTTCGAACCAGCGGCGATCGAGTACGGTGATGGTAGTTCCGTAGTTGGTGAACATAATGAGTGAGACCGGAGTTAAGTTGTTTGGGAAGCTGGAAAGCCCATTTGTTCTTCGGGTGGAGTTGGCTCTGAAGCTCAAGGGTGTAGAATACGAGTACGTTTACGGCCCTTTGCCTGACGTGATTGCACGGGAGTTGAAGAATAACATAGTAAACGAGAAGGACCCGGTTCTGATACACGACGGGAAACCAATCGCCGAGTCACTCGTGATCATCGAATACATCGATGAGATTTGGAAAGGCACCGGTCGCTCCATCCTCCCGACAGACCCATATGAAAGGGCCGTCGCACGCTTCTTGGCCAAATACGCCGATGACAAGGTAGGTAGCACCGTAACAGTAGCTTATGGAATCAGAAGTCCATCATTGATTAATTAATTGATTATTTTTCTTGATTAATGCAGTTGATGGCAGACATCATAGGCGTGTATTTGAAGGTTGGGAAGGAGCAGAAGAAATCATTGGAGCTGATGAAGACGAAGCAAAGAGTGTTTGGAAATGCTCTGAAGGGGAAAAAATTCTTCGGCGGTGATTGTATTGGATATTTGGATATAGTTCTTGGTATCATACCCTACTGGATTCAAGCCATCAAACAGGTCTCCGACGTAAAAGAGGATGAAGTCGAAGATGACGTGGATGTTGCACATCTCAGAGTTTGGTCGCGTAATTTCCTCAGTTTGGAATTTGTCAAAGACAAATTGCCCC